ATACATCCAGTTTAATATAAATCTACAAGTGATAACGATAATACCATTTACCTTTGTATAGTACTGTATAGGGTTTGTAGGACACTTTCCTCCAAATTGAATCAGTGGTATTTCCACACCAATCAGTGTAGTATTTATGATCATTTTTACTACCACTTACTTGTATTTGGAAACTGATGTTCTGAGAGTTGAGGCAATAGTTCTTAAATTAATCAGTCCACATAACTCACATCTTCTGGCATAACTGTTGTTTTTTTTCTTTTTTCCAATATTGCAGAAATGTTGTTATGTCCTATAATAGAGAAGCAGAGTTAAGTAACAGGTGCAAGCAATGAATATATTCCTTTGTTATTTTCTCATCATCCACAGTTGTAGAGCAGGCAGAGCTATGGCAGGTTCCTGGGTATAACATGCCTCCACTTCCTCATTAACCCTATCAGGTCCAATCCAGTTTCAAACAACAAAGGAGAGAGAAACTCTGATCCAGGACTTACTGGAGCAGGGAGAGCGGTGCTGCTGGAGAAGAGGGTTGAAGGGTCTCTGTGAACAGCACACTAGTGTGCACAGAGTGCACTACGCCAGAGCTAACCAGGCTGCTTCTGACCTTTGCTGCGGTTCAGGGAGATTATGAAGCATGTTTGAAAACTAATTGTATACTGTAGCACAGGTAGCAGAGAGGAAAGAAAGGGAGTATGGTTACTGTATGTGATCCTCTGCTCTAATTGAATGCAATCCACATGATCTACTCACCATCAGATCAGATGTGTAAGACATGTAAAAGTCCTCATGTCTCCATAGTCTCATGGCACAGAGAGAGTCATGTCTGAACTGTGCCCCCATGCCAATCCCTAGAAAGTGTAATATTGTTTTATTGTTTTCTTTGATGCCTATTTCTCTTGAATATCTCTGAAATCTGCCTCATTTTGGTTCAGAAAAGTTGGTGGTTCTTGGTAGGCCAGTTGAAATCTATGTCCCATTCTTATATTTTACCCAAGACAATTATGTTTTGTATGTCATCCATGACCTCCTCTGTTCTGTGAGAATATAAGAAAAGTTGACTTGAAGGTAGATGAACGACAAAGAATATCTGAATAATTATCTAGTGAACAATGTGCAGGTCTCCAAACTCTTAGTCTGTACTCATCTAAATATGCCTCTGTAGACACATCTTTAAAAATATCCTTTCCTTAAAAATGAAAATATCTTTAAAATTCTTAAAGTATAAGTAAGAGATTAAAAATAAATGTCTGACCACTTCCACAATCCGTACTTGAATTTTGCTGTATTCTCTGCCGTTTGTGTATATACGTATTTAAAATAAATAAATAGTTAAAAGTAACTAAAATAGGGGCCGGCCCGGTGGCGCAAGCGTTAAGTTCGCACGCTCCCCTGCGGCGGCCTGGGGTTCGCCGGTTCGGATCCCGGGCACGCACTGACGCACTGCTTGGCAAGCCATGCTGTGGTGGCGTGCCATATAAAGTGGAGGAAGATAGGCATGGATGTTAGCCCAGGGCCAGTCTTCCTCAGCAAGAAAAAAGAGGAGGATTGGTAGATGTTAGCACAGGGCTGATCTCCTCACACACAAAAAAAAGTAATTAAAATAAAGTTTTTGTAATATTTCATACCCTCCTTTGCCTTTATAACATGCTTTTAGTCAGAAAACGATAAAAACTAAAAAACAAATCTAATTATAAATCAGAAACACAACAACAAATATTGTACCTGACCCAGACTACTGACTCTTTTGCTGCATACTGTTCTGTCTGCAGTAGGGTTCAGCATTGTCCCCTGGCTGACCTGGATTGTATAACTATCTTTGTGTCTGGTCCCTGCATATTAAACACTTGGTCTCTGAGGATTAAACGACAGATATAACAATATGGTTTACCGTCTGTTATTTATTATAGGCTGGTGTTATGAGAGGTTCAGGGATTCAATCGGAGATGCAAAAGAAACTTTCTACTCCAAACAAATGGACTGAAGGTATATTTTATTATATAGAGGATATTAAAGGCGAGAGTCTGCAAACAGATCTGAATAGGTCAAATATTAAGAGGGAAAAACATCAGCTCTACTGGAAAGGGAAAACATCCACATCGACTGAGATAGCAGCATTATTCCAATAGGTCATATAATAAGGGGGAAAAACATCAGATCGATCGGAAAGGGAAACACCATATCGACTGAAGGGAAATGACACAAATCAACTGGAAAGAGAAATACCAGGTTGACCAAAAAGAGAACACCTCAGATCGTGATGTTACTCACAACATCCAGTCCCACTGCAGGGGAGAGTCCCTTTAATTAACACAGCTGGGCGGAAATCCTATCATCACAGGTCCTGGGCTGGGCATCCCCTCCACAGGTGAGACTCTCACCAGGGCCTCAGTCTCCAGCAGTTTATATAACATCAGTGGTTTCCAGAGTAAGCAGTTACAGAGTTTACAGAGCAAGCATTCAGTGTTCCCATGCACAAATGGTTATCGGTGGCATACCTGCACTGAGCCTCCTGGCTATCGTCCCAGCCTGGCAGTTGTGTACGTGCATTGTTTTCCCTGGTTATTGTGCAAGCCAGGCTTAGATGGCCAGTCTGCCCCAGGCTGCGACACCCAAAGGACCTTTAGATGTTACAAATTGTAACTATCTCCGTGGGAGAAAGGCCAGTTCCTGGGAAAAAGGCCAGTTCCCACCACACAGAAAGCAGCTTTATATTTCTTTGTGTGCTGGTGGCTGTAGGTCAACGGAGTGGCCAAATATGGCTGCACTCATGTCAAGACAGCTGGGTGATAGAGAAAGAAATAAGGACATTTTTAAAAAAATATTACTTTTGTCCCTATCTACTTACTGACCAATATTATACTTATTTAACAACAGTAAAATGATTACAATCCATGAGTATTCCTTACTTCCAGCTCACAATCCTTATACAGGCATTTCGTTTTAATTCCAAAATTTACGAATACAAACCCACTCACGCTCACACACTTACACAGCCACACATACACAAACACTCTCCCATGCACGTACTACATATAGTATACAGTCCTTGGTATCTGCTGTGGCTTGCAGCCAGGACCCCTGTGCATACCAGAATCTGTGGATACTCAAGTCCCTTCAATGACATGATGTAGTGTCTGCATGTAAGGTATGCATGGCCTCCCTTATCCTTTAATCATCTCTGGATTACTTATAGTACCCGATACAATGTAAATGCTATGTGAATAGTTATTATACTCTATTCTTGGGAATACTGACAACAAAAAAAGTCTGTATATGTTCATTATAGATGCAACCATGGTAGGCCTTTCACAAGTTGAATTCCCGAGTTCAGAACCGTGGATGGGGAGGGCTGGCTGTATCTTGTTTCTCTACTTCACTCATGAACAAACGTAGCTTCAGTTAGTAATGAGAATATTTTCTAGCTTCAGCAAGGAGTACTTTCTCAGAATTTCTACCACTCATGGAGTGTTGTGTATTGGGGGAAAAAAAAAAGAAAATGCACCTTTTCTTTTCTGGTTGTAGGGGGCTTGTGTCAAGCCTATTCATAGTCCTCAAATTCTCATTATGTGTTAATTGGGCATTTAGATATTCTTTTCTCAAGAAGAACATGTGATTGCGTCAGATGGCCAAAACTTGGTGTGTTACACAATCAGTTACTCATAAGGTTCCTATTAGCACCTGCTATCTGATAAGCACTGGCCCTGAAACCAGTGGGGACATCTGGCACATTATTTAGAGTAAGAAAACATGAAACCTTTGTTCTGCCCATAAGTGTCTAAGGCTGGCTCTCAGGCAGTGGAGTTGTGGGGTGCTTTGTCCCAGCCAGTGGGCATCAGAGATCTGGAAGCATCTATCATCCTTCTAAAGTAAAACAAAAGAAGACTGAATTAATTCACTCAAATAGAAAAGCACTTGAGTGAGTTATTTACTGAAGAATTCTTTGCTAAGATTAAAGAACTCAAAAATCGGTGTCAGATTACTGACTGTAAATATGAACATCTTAGGGCATTGTACTTATATTTAAAAGGCCAAAGCAAATTGTTTTCTTTTAAAAATACCAATAGCGTGAATAGAAAATGAAGTTTACAAGATATTACTAACTAACAAAGAAAAAATAAACAATGTAACTCATTGTTTAGGAAGCTCTATATTTACGAACATAAGAACAAAAATATACTTTAAGAGAAAACAGAAAAAATAAATTCAACATGGGATAATAGCTATCTATACTATTGTCTTATAGATGAGATTTCCCTTGCACATTTCTGTTTTCTACATGCACATACAGTTAAGATATATACAGTCTTGCTTATTTTTCTTAAGATTAATTGAGTAAAGTTGATAATAAAAATGCCCCAGGGCTTTAAGAAAATAATATACAGCCAAGACATCACATGGGACAGAGATACATCTAATTACTTGAACTGCAGTCTTCGAGGCAATACCTTAGTGATGTTTTCTAGTCTCCACATCCCTAAGGTCTTGATGTCATGTATTTGTAGCACAATTTGAAGCTGAGATTTCGTTTTCAGGTGTGATCTTATTTCTGGTATCTCTGAGTTGTCTTAATAGGTTGGAAAACAGTTTCTTTTATGAAACATTTAATGAAATAGTCTGTGGACTCCTACTACTCTTTTTCAGACCTGTTTCTTTTAATTAAATGCCAAGTAGGAGCACTCCTGGAGCTCATTAATCTTAGCAAAGAATTCTTCAGCAAATGACTCACTCAAGTGCTTCTCTATTTGGGTGAGTTAATTAGGTCTTCTTTTGTTTTACTTTAGAAGGAAACTGTGGCATTCTGGTGATCTTTGCAGTAGACAAACACATGTATAGAACAAAGTGTCCGCAAATCTACTTAGTTTGACTAGGAGAGGGTTTATGGTATTATATTCTGATTCCTTCTTTCTTTCAAATGATATTCATCCTGGTTTTGTCATTGTGTAGCCACCATGTAGCCAGCAATGAAATAAAGATTGTGGCAAATACAGAATAGTAAAAACATGGGCCTTGTCTTCACACTTCCTATGATCTCTGAGGAAGAAAGTGACAATAATAACCATATTTGTAAAGCACAGGATACAGCGTATGGTAATTGTAAAGTTATAAATTTCGAAGTTTACATGTATACAAAGGAGAAGAAACAGTGAGCTATGTTGATAATAGCCAGTGGTAAAATAAGACATTATAAGAATAAGAATACAATGGGAAAATAACTAGATGCAAATGAAAATGTGCCATGTAACAGAGCTTGATGAATCCATCATGACTAAAAAAGAATGTGTTAAATGGAAATGAGGTTGGATTTATAGAAGCAAGAGTTTTTGGAAAAGCCAGACTGAACAATATAAATTTCATGCATTCACTAACAAAGAGTATTTGGAATCTTTGAAGTCATCTACTGTCAGGTTAAAGTAATCATAGAAAATTATTCTCTCAATGTTGCATAGAATATTTCAAGTTGAAGGAATGTGGTTGGGAAAAGTGGCCATAATCCAGCTTTGCAGTGCTAAGACCTTATAAAAAATTTTTACAGAGGATCTCTTATGGGATTGGTTTGTGAAAGATATCTTTCCTACAGGCAGAAACTTGTGGGAATCACCAAAAGCCACAGTGTAATAAAAAAAGTCTATAGGAGAACAGGGAATGTTTATTATGCATCCTTGTTGAAGTGCCAAAGAAATCGTACCTATTTCTATTGTGTGAGTTCTGGAGGAAAGAATTTCTGCATTGTATTTCTCAATGTCACCACCTGTTGATAGCTGTCCATGCTTGGGCCTGATTTTCTGAATGAAATAAGTTTTTGAAATCATACTAATTACTCATAATTACAATAAGTAAGAAAGCTCAATATCTATGATACATCACACCATGTCTTATGGCTTTTAAATTCATTATCAAAGTATCTATTTTATTTCTGGTAATTTAAATTTTATATTATTAATATTCTCCATTTACTGTTGAAGAAATGACTAGTGGTATAAAGTAATATTCAAGAAATATTATAGTGTCCTACTTGAGATGGGTCTCTATCCTGACACCAGCTTTTGGAAAAGCTATAACTTAACACAAAAATCACAGAATGTATTTTCCCTGCAGCCTGAAATTTATATCCATTGTCCAGTGCTTTCACAGTTCTTATTGTTTGTCACTACCCAACTTCCAAAATTTACTACATTGAAAAAAGAAGGACTTTTTGTTCAATGTTGTTTCAACTATTATCACTGAAGATACAGTACGTATTTTGTTGTGATCACCTCCTGATGAATAACATAATGTGCCATGAATAATAACATTTAAATATTTTGAAAATTAGTTTAACATGAGTGAAAAGTTTAGTGTACTTGTACAGCACAGCTCCAGAATGTGTTGAAAGTACTGGGTTACTTGGAGTCAGAGAGGCACAGAAAAGGAAATAGAACAACCACGAAAATAGTAAATTGATGTTTTTGTAGGGACGTTAGCATTTAAAAAAATGTTGACAGGTATAAGTTAATTGTCTCACAGTCTAAGAAGTGAAGCAGGGAAGAAACTGTGGAAACTCATGATATGTGTTTCCTCCAGTGCAACTATTTTTGCTAAGCTCAGATTCAGCAGAGTTAGAGCAGCCCTTCTCATGAAGTCAGCTGCCTATGATGAACCTGAGATTTATTATTGAAAATAGAGCAGAGTCTACTTGGTTTTTTGTTCTTCCTGACCTAATCTTGTTTTTGATTATTCCACTCACACAGAATTTCTATTCGCTGTGTAATTTTTATATAAGTGAATGCTAACTTTTGAAATAGTATAACAGTGAAAATCTAGCATTTTTAGCAACACTGTTAAAGAGACCCATTGAGCCTCTCGACATTACGTCTATTCTCTTATCTATTTCAAATTTGTTTATTACTTCTCTGGATCGACTTTCATTTTTGTCCACAGGAACCAAGAAAACCAGAGTGGTGGAGTCACCTTTGTTCTCTTGGGCTTCTCAGAATATCCAGAACTCCAGGTGCCCCTGTTCCTGGTGTTCCTGACCATCTACACAGTCACTGTGCTGGGGAACCTGGGCATGATGCTGATTATCAAGATGGATCCCAAACTCCACACCCCCATGTACTTTTTTCTCAGCCACTTATCTTTTGTTGACTTCTGTTACTCTACGGTAGTCACACCCAAACTATTAGAAAATTTGGTTGTGGAAGACAGAACCATCTCCTTCACAGGATGCATCATGCAATTCTTCTTTGCATGCATATTTGTGGTGACAGAAACATTCATGTTGGCAGCGATGGCATATGACCGATTTGTGGCTGTTTGTAACCCTCTTCTCTACACAGCTGTAATGTCTCAGAAGCTTTGTTCCCTTTTGGTGGGTGCATCATATTCTTGGAGTATAGCTTGCTCTTTAATATACACATACTTTTTGTTGACCTTGTCCTTTTGTGGGACTAACTTCATAAACAACTTTGTCTGTGAGCATGCTGCCATTGTTGCTGTTTCCTGCTCTGATCCCTACATTAGCCAGAAGATCATTTTAGTCTCTGCCACGTTCAATGAAATAAGCAGCTTGATGATCATTCTTACTTCCTATGTGTTCATCTTTATCACTGTCATGAAAATGCCTTCAACTGGTGGTCGCCACAAAGCCTTCTCCACATGTGCCTCCCACTTGACTGCCATTGCCATTTTCCATGGGACCATACTTTTTCTCTACTGTGTTCCTAACTCCCAAAGTTCATGGTCCATGGTCAAAGTGGCCTCGATCTTTTACACAGTGGTCATCCCCATGCTGAATCCACTGATCTACAGCCTCAGGAACAAAGAAGTGAAAGAGACAGTCAAGAAGTTAATCAATACTAGGTTGTTCTGTGATGAAATGTAAAGCTAGAAATGTTACTTATTTCTTTTTGAGAGTACTGATAAGAGTGGTTCAATGGCAAAGCAGTACACAAATCTATGGTAACCTTGCAATTAACAGTCCAATATCTGTTCCCTCTAATGTTTATTAAAATAATCTTAACATTACAAATAATGTTAGGGATGAAACCTCAGACTACTTTAAGTTTTTGATTCAGAAATTGGCATGTAAAGACTTCTGTGTTAGTATACACGACAATATGATTGCCCAGGTGAAATTTCCGTCAGTTTAAGTCATGTGAAATGTAGGATTTTTGAGATGATCTTAAGGGTTATAGCTTACAATTAGGAAGTTTATTTCTTAATATAAAAGTAGTACATTAAGAGCTGTTCAACATAAAAATCATAAATGTACAATATCTATATATGTTTAATTCCATAAGAACTGTCAGCATCAGAAGATTCTCTGGCAAACAAAAATAAATAAGAAATGTATCTCCCTTAAAAAGTCAATAATTTTTCATACATATTGCTGATGCTAGTTTACTTTTGTTTTAAGTAAATATATGATTATGTTTTAAATCAATTAAATATTGCACTTTCCATGTTTTTAGGTGGTCAGGACACTCTGAATTAATACAGAAATAATCCATATTGACGCACTCATCTCAGCTGGTTTCAGAAAGAAATATATTGCAAGCTCTCCCAGTTAGACGTTACGGAAGTCAGAATGATGAAGAAGGCATATATATTTAGAGACTCATTATTTATGTTATAGTTTAACTTGCTTTATAAAAGTGCTGCAAAAGCACGGACGATAACTGCCTTTACTGGGTCTGCACTCAGGTTCTCATAACCAATAGTTTTGACTTAGAAATTTCTATGGAACAGAATTTTTTGTTCCCCTTAAAACTTTTCTTCATTCTGAGTAAAATTAGGACCTGGGAGTTTGCATTATGAGAAACATTATCTGACTTTAAGTGAGCAAATGCTGAAAGTATTAGCTACTCTCTATAAGTATCACTCATTTTTTGAGTATCAATGTAATGTTTTATAGTTCAATAAAAGGAATTGAAAATAATACTGAATACCAAGGAACAGTTCAATTTATTTCCAACAAGACTTATGTCCATTACTCATTGATAAAAACACTGAGATTAATAAAATATACTTTTTTGATCATCCATTCTCAACAGTAAACTTTTCCCACCTACCAATTTTCTCCATATCAATACACGACGTCCACATCTACTCACTTCCTTAAACAAGCAACGGAGAAGGCATTGTTTATTTTCATTTATTATTCTGTAGCTTCTCTCAAATACCTGTCAGTAAGTTATGTTGTTTCTGTCTCCACAATGGAGCTATGTCTTCATGTCTCTGCTTTCTGAGTCATCTTTCTCATTAAGTTGGTTTTTAGCAGTTAATACCAAATAATATACTTTCCATATTTCTTAACCTTATATGTCATGAATCTCAGATCATCTGTAGTGACTTTTTAAAAATATAAAATCAATTTATTTTACTCCCTAGCTTAGAATTGTGCAATAGTTTTCTATTACATCTTGGATGATAATCAGTCTTTGCAAAATGTAGCATCTGCTTAATTCCTGGCTGCATCATTTTAGATTTAAAACAGATTGAAACACGTTTTTTAAACAAACACTCATGTAACTCTCAAGTAGATCAATACATAGCACATTACTAGTACCCCAGAGTCAATTACTGGCCCTTTCTTCCCACTCTCAGCAAGAGTCAAAAGGATGACTTTTGTCATAATGATACAGTTGCTTTTCTATATAGATTCA